CGTTTCCACTTTTTATACTCTTATGAAGGGGCTGGAGCAATAGCACAGCAGGTGGGGCATCTGCCTTGCATGCAGCTGACCCAGGTTCGATTCCTCCGTCTCTCAGAGAGCCCAGCAAGCTACTGAGAGTATCCCGCCCACATGGCAGAGCCTGGCAAGCTCCCTGTGGTGTGTTTAATATGCCAAAAACAGTAACTACAAGTTTCACAGTGGGGACGTTACTGGTGCCCACTCAAGAAAATTGATGAAAAACAGGACAACAGTGCTGCAGTGCAATAATATAAAATAAAGGATTTTGTGCCTGCTAAGGGGGCAGGCTTGACGGGGATGCTGAACTGGGACATGGATGGAGGGAAGGTCACGCTGGTGGTGGAATTGGTGTTGAATCATTGAATGTCCAGAACAACTGTATTATGAACAACCTTGTAATCCATGGTGTTTAAATAACATTATAGGGTTTTTTAATTATTTTTTAAGAAATATTAAAACTGACTGCATCACCAAAGCTCATCAGGTCACATCCGTTGGTCCAATATGTAAATGGGGGGGGCCGGAGCGACACCATCGGGTATGGCATTTGCCTTCCACATGGCCAACCTGGGTTCAATCCACAGTATCCCATATGGTCTTCCGACCACTACCAGAAGTAATTCCTGAGTGCAGCGCCAGATTTAGCACTTCCATATGTGATCCAAAAAGGGGGAAAAAATGTGAGTGGGATGTGACATAATAAGCTATAGATGTTCGTTTGTGCCCCCCCCAGCTCCTGACACAACCTCTTGTAGCCCTGTGACTTTCTGGGTAAATGGCTGATAGGAGAACTTTACATTCACAGACTACTGAATCCCTAGACATTTCCTGGACGACAGGAGCATGTAGAGGGCCCAAGATGGGAGCTGCTCAACAAAAAGAGCATGCCACGATAAGAGGTTAGAACTTTCAGTCTCACCCCCATGGAGGGCAGTAGAGTACAGAGAGGGAATTTATCATCCAATGTGATGAAGTTTCCCATAAACCACAGTTTTAGGAGAGCTGAATGGTAAATGCATCAGCTTGCCCAGAATCGTACCCCAGCTCTTCAAAGATACTCAGAATCCCTCCCAATGTCCCCCCATATACCTTTTTATTTTAGGCTATTCAGAACTAGCCTTTTTTTTTTCTTTGGCTTTTTGGGTCACACTCGTGGTACTCAGGGCCTACTCCTGGCTCTGCACTTGGGAATTATTCCTGGCGGTGCTCGGGGGGCCATATGAGATGCCAGGGTCGGCTGTGTGCAAGGCCTACCTGCAATGCCCGACCAGCTCTACTATCGCTCTGGCCCCAGATCTACTCTTTTTTAATAAGCCAGAAAATGTAAGAAAATATTGTTACAACAATAATCAACACTGAGGAAAATTTGTGAAAATACCAACTTTGGAGCAGTGTTAGACAGAAGTTTGGGACTCCACCTGGCATCTAAAGTAAGGAAATCTTGGGGGGCTAATCCCTTTAATCTAGACTCCACTGTTGACTCCAGATCATTGGTAACAGAATTGAACTAAATTATAGAACAGGGGCTGGAGAGATGGCTCAATGGGCTGGAGGAAAAGCTTTGTATATAGTTTTGGATTTCATTCCTGATACCACATGGTCTCTCCCAAGCACCTCCAGGAGTAAACGCCAAGCATCAAACAGGGAGTAGCTCCTGAGCACCACTGGACATGACAAAAAGTGTAGAATAGTTTATTCCTGTCCAGAGAACTGGAAAGTTGGTGTAGGGGAAGAAAACCTACACACCTGTGTCCAGTGTACTATGAGTAAACAAAGAATTTTTCAACTCTGGAGAGATATATAGCAGATAGGGCGCTTGCCTTGCACAAGGCTGACCTGGGTCAATCCCCAGCACCCCATAAGATTCCCCAAACCTGCCAGGAGTAATTCCTGAATTCAGAACCAGAAGTAAGCTCCAAATTCAACCAGAAATGGTCCAAAGAAAAGAGAAAGCAAGAAAGGTAGGAAGGAAGGTAGAAAGGAAGAAAGGAAGGGAGGGAGGGAGGGAGGGAGGGAGGGAGGGAGGGAAAGAGGGAGGGAAGGAAGGAAGGAAGGAAGGAAGGAAGGAAGGAAGGAAGGAAGGAAGGAAGGTTTTTCTATGAAACAAAAGAAAACTGCAAAATTGGGGTCAGAGCAATAGTACCACAGGTAGGGCAGTTGCCTTGAATGCAGCCTACCTAGGTTCAATCCCTGGCATCGCATATGGTTCCCTTAATCCTGACAAGAATGATCTGAGCTTTGAGCCAGAAGTCCTGAGCACTGCTGAGTATGGCTCAAAAGCCAAAAAAAAAGTGCAAAATTAAAAATAGTTCTTCCCAGTATCATGCTAAGCGAAATAAGTCAGAAAGAGAGGGGTAGACATAGAAAGATTGCATTCATCTGGGGGATATAAAGTAACAAAATATGAGATTAATACCCAAGAATAGCTGAGATCAGCACCAGGAGGATTACTCCATAGCTTAGTGGCCAGTCGGGCATTCTAGAGGAAAGGGCAGCTCAGACAGAGAAGGGAACACCAAATAAAAGGTGTTTGGAGGACCCTCCCAGGACGGGAGATGCATGTCGAAAGTGGACTATGGACTGAACATGTTTGCCACTCAATGCCTCTTTTGCAGACCACAACACCCAAAAGGAGAGAGAGAACACAGGGGATTGCCCTGCCACAAAGGCAGGGGGGGGGATGGGGGGATGGGGGTGGGGTGGATATTATCCATGGTGGTGGAAAATGGGCACTGGTGGAGGGATGGGTATCTGATCATTGTATAATCAAACCCAAGCACAAAAAATTGTAAATCTACAACTGTACCTCATGGTGTTTCACTAATAAAAAAAAATTTTAAAAAAATCGTTCTTCCCATGAAGAGGGCAGTTATATTCTGGGTTGGGAGATGCTCAAAGGGTTGATGCTTTGTATGTGGGGCCCCAGGTCTCAGTACTTGCCTGGTCCCCTAGCATAGGTTTTAAAAAAGAAAGTGAATTCACTCAGTTCTACTGAACTAAATTTATTTTTACTTAAAAATACCTAAAATGGTACATTGAGTACCATATATGTTTATTTTTAAAAATTTTAGGACCAGTTCTGTCCCCAGCTCTGTGCAGCAATGCAAGCATCGCTGAATGTGACCCTGGTCACTCCAAGCATTGCTTAGGAGGTCCAAAAATATATATTTTATGATTAACAAATTTTTTTAAAAATCCATCCTTAAATGGACAAACAGAATGTAGCAGAACCATACACACTCACACTATCCTCCTGTTGTTCATCGATTTTCTCAAGCGGGTCCAGTAACGTCTCCATTGTGAGACTTTGTTGTTACTGTGTTTGGCATATCGAATATGCGGGCGAGATACTCTCGGTAACTTGGCGGGCTCTCCAAGAGGGGCGGAGGAATCGAACTCGAATCAGCCATGTTGGCTGCGTGCAAGGCAAACGCCCTGCAGCTGTGCTATCACTCTAGCCCCAGCAGCAGAACCATATAATAAAATATCACTCGAAGATACAAGGCTCACATCTGCTTCTACTTGCATTTAATGTCCATAGTAGGCAAAAGCACAGAGACTGAGGTCTAAATGAAGGTTGCCAGGGGGTGGGAGAAGAGGGAACTTGGGAGCAAGTGATCGATGGGTACGGGAGTGTCCTTTTGGGAGTAGGAGTGTTCCTTTCGAAAATGGTTTAGAACCAGACAGAAGTAGTAATTGAACAACATTTGACTGTACTAAATGCCTCTTAGCACTCACTTGAAAATTAGTTTAGGGGCTGGGAGATAGTCAGGGGGCATGTCTGTCATGCATCTAATCTGGGTTCAATTCCCAGCACCATATGCCTCCCCCGCCAAATCATCACCAAGTGCAGACCTGGAGCCACCAGCAAAGTGGCCCAGGTATCCTCAGCACCGCAGGGCCTGAGTAGGTCAAATTCTAAGCCCGGTGCACTAAACAGCCCAATTGGCCAAGAATTGCTAGCAGGGACCCTGGGCCTCCTGAGTACCTTCTGGGAGGTATTTATAAATAAGTAAACAAAGAAATTTTTAAAGGTTTAAGTTCTTATGGTTGGACGATTTACACCAAATCCACTCCAGCCAGCACACTCTGATCTCCATGCTACAGAGCCAGCTCAGGGGGTTGATGCCAGCAACTTCCATAAGGTTGGCAGCCTCCCAACCAACACAATGGATAAGGACATCATCCTTCTCCACAAGGGACCACTAGACCAAAAGACCTGCTGAGGTGAACGAGCTCCAAGAAAGTCGCTGTCACAATGTCTAACCACAGCACTGAGCCGCAGGCATGGAACCTCACATTACAGCTTAGAGAGAGAAGCCTGGTGACAGTCCCCGTGTCTCCTTCTCCTCCTCCTTCCCACACAGAAATGCTGCAGTGTATGGAGGATAGTAAACTCATAAACTCTTCGCCCCTTCCCCAACCAGGGGTCTCCCTCAAGCTCTGTGAAGCCCCTCCCCCACCACCCTCCACCACCTCAGATCACAAAAATTGATTGCAGAGAATGGCTGGGAGAGCCAGTAGGCAAAGGGCCAGAGCGATTCAAATCTGAATGATTTTTAGATTTGTTTTAGGCCTCCCTCCACCTTTGCTTTAGGAAGAGAAAGACAGGGTTGAGTTCCAGGCCGATTTAATGAAAATAAATATACATGGCTATGAAAAGCATTTACCTCCTGCCAGAGCTGCGCTGCACTCAGCATTTCACTTGGGTGGATCATTTAATTCTTTCAACACTCCTGTTGGTCAATATTATTAATACCCCCATTTTACAGAAACAGAATTGAGGCTTAAGAGGTAAGTTCACCAAGTTGGTGAGCTGAGTTTCTAGAGTTTGCAGCCTAACTCCTCCCTCCCAGGTCTTTCACTGTGACTTCCTCTCCCACACATCCTCAGCCAGTGATCCTGCTTTCCGGATGCGAAGGGCGGCCCTGAAGCCCTCAGCAAGGCCAGCCCTCTTGCCCCGGCTACAGCCCACTCACAGCAACCCAAGAGTCTGACGACTGGCCCTCCAGGACCAGGTGCCACAGCAAGAACTCTGGTGAGTGTCTCCCCATCTCAGAGAAGACAAGAATCAGGCCTAGAGAAAGTTGCAAGTGACTTTTCTGCTTGATGTGCAGCTGTGTATGTGTGTTGTATGTGAGAGTGCGTGCCCCACCCCCAATGGCAAGGAAGAACAAAGTCCCCGTGTGGAAGAACAGAGGGGGAAGGGCCAGGGAGAGAGGAAAGCTGGAGACCACCAGGCAAAACTTGGGAGCCAGGAGTGGAGGGGAAATAGGGGGCTAGAAAGATATCTTGCTGAGTGCTAACTGTTCTGGTCTCCCTCGGCACAAGGGCGCCTTAACAAAATGTTTCCAGTCAAAGCTGCCACATAGGTTGTTTACTGTTTACCCACAGTTGAAAAACTGGAAGTTCCCTTTCTTGCCTCTTCAGGCCCAGAATCTGCCCCCACCCCCCACCCCGGCTCCCATGACCTGCTTCCTGGGGGAGCCAAGTCCGCGTTGGAAGTCTCCTTTCTCCTCTCTCTCTTCTTTCCCCTAGGCATTCGCTAGCCCTAATGTCAGACAAGGCCAGTTCAGGGTCCAGCCCCACTGAGGGCTTCAGCCCGGAGCCTGCCAACGAGCTGGGAGAGATCCACAACTGGACGGAACTGTTGTACTTCTTCAACCACACTTTGCCCCAGTGCCATGTGGAGTTGAGCGAGGATGTCAAGCGCGTGGTCCTCTTTGTCCTCTACCTGGCCATCTTTGTGGTAGGGCTGGTGGAAAACCTCCTGGTCATCTGTGTGCACTGGCGCTGCTCCGGCCGTGCAGGGCTGCTGAGTCTCTACATCCTCAACATGGCCATTGCTGACCTGGGCGTTGTCTTGACCCTGCCCGTGTGGATGCTTGAGGTCACCCTGGACTACACCTGGCTCTGGGGCAGCTTCTCCTGCCGCTTCACCCACTATTTCTACTTTGCCAACATGTACAGCAGCATCTTCTTCCTGGTGTGCCTCAGCGTGGACCGTTACATCACCCTTACCCGCACTTCACCCTTCTGGCAGCGTTCCCAGCATCGGGTGCGCCGGGCTGTGTGTGCTGGTGTCTGGGTACTCTCAGCCATCATTCCGCTGCCCCAGGTGGCCCACATCCAGCTAGTGGAGGACTTGGAGCCCATGTGTCTCTTCCTGGCACCCTTTGAAAGCTATGACACCTGGGCCCTGGTGATTTCGCTCTCCACCACCATCCTGGGCTTCCTGCTGCCCTTCCCTCTCATTGCCATCTTCAATGTGCTGACAGTCTGTCGGCTACAGGGGGCAGGTCAGCCTGCCCGTCGGCGTCACTGTCTATTGGTATCTGCCTATGTGACCGTCTTTGTCATCAGCTGGCTGCCCTACCACGTGACCATGCTGCTGCTCACTCTGCATGGGACCCAGATCTTCCTCCACTGTTACCTGGCCCACATACTCTACTTCTTCTATGACATTGTCAGCTGCTTCTCCATCCTCCACTGCATGGTCAATCCCATCCTTTATAACTTTCTCAGCCGCAACTTCCGGGGCCAGTTGCTGAGCGCTGTGGTCCACTACCTCCCCAAGGTCCAGGCCCGGACAGGCAGGCATGCTTCTTCCTCCTCCTCCTCAACGCAGCACTCCATCATCATCACCAAGGAGGGCGTCCAGCCCACTGCCGCAAACCCCCACCATCCTCTGAGCCTGAACTCCCAGGCACCAAACACCTCCCCACTCTCTGCTCCTCCATCGCTCTCAGCCAGCTGAGGCTGAGACGTTTCTTTCTCCATCAGTGAAGCAGGAAGCTGGAACTAGGTGAGAGATGGGGGGCAGGGAGGTGGGGGTGGGCAGGCAAGGGTCAGAGCACTCATGGTCAACTGAATTCATCTGAAAATACCAAAGTGGGAAGAGGGAGAAGGGGCCAAGGGGGAACACACCCTTGGCATTGTACTAATTCATAGTCCCTATTTCTCAGAAAATCGTGCAGGAAAAAAGGTGAAATAAATATTAGAGCAGCCATGACTCTGGATCTCTAAAACATGCACTTACAGTCGGACTGGGGAAGGGCGCTCAAGCTAAACAGTGCTCAGCAGGAAGCAGACACACTCATTTCAGAAATCACACAGCCAGAAAGAGGGAGTGCTGCAGGAACCTCGCCAAGTTTTCCTTTTGTTTGTGCATTTGTTGCTTTCCCAGCACATCGTGTGAGCTGTGGGGACAAGAGGCCAGAGGTCAAGGAAGCAGGAGGCCCAGTCGGAAGCTTCCTCATGTGCATCCTCGGGGTTACGATAAATGCGGGCGAGGGAGAGGCAGAGGCTGAGACAGACCTTCAGCTGGAAGAGCAGAAAGCAGTCTCTACTCCCACAAGCCAGGAAGCTGACCCACTTCCTCGCTGACATTCTCCCCCTAGTCCATCCGCTCCCCTCCCCTCAGGGCAGAAGACTCCATCCCAGAATCAGTGCTCCTCAAAGTCCATCCCCTTTGACTTTGCCTCCAGGATATTTCCAGGCCTGCAGGAAGAGATGCTAGAACTCCACTCCCATCCTTCCCTTTCTCTCCAGATTGCAAGGAAATCTCAAATGATAGCACTGTGAGAGTGACACAGGATCAGCTCACAGCAGGCACTGAGAGATACTAGCCCTCAGCCCATCCCAAGCCAGAAAGAGAAATGGAACTTTTCTACCTGTGTCGCTGGGCAGTGCTCTGATACTCTTGTAAGTCAATTTTCACTCTGGTACTTCCTTCTCCCTGGTCAAGTAATTTTTCCTGTTCAGGAACTGTTAAATCATAAAGACTTTTCTCCCTTGTACTCATATATTAACTCTTGTCAAACAGGAGCTGGGAAGCTAGTTCAAAGGTCCAGAGTACATGCATGACATGCAGTAGGCCCCAATTTCATTTCTTGGCACTACATAGCCCAACCCCAGAACTCTGTGGGGAGGCTCAACTGGAGCAGCCGTGTATTGCTGGGTCCAAGCACTGCCAGGCCTGCACAACTGAACCAAGTATTACAGGGAGTGGCTCCCTGGAACCCTGAGCACTATTTGGGAGCACCCCCCCAAAAAAAGAAAACCACCTGCCCAACCAGTAGGAAAAGAAGTATTGTACAACAGTAATCTTTTAGAAAATGATAACGTATCAGTTTAGGTAACCAGGACCATGTCCATGAAGAAAAAATGAAGTAAACATCTGAGTCCCAGACTGCCCTCCAGTTACAAGCCTCAGTGCTGCCTGTGGAGAGTAACGGGTCTGAGGTTCATAATCCCTGAGGCTCTGTCCTGTCCCAGAGCTTGTGTGGAATGTTTGGCTTGGAAGGGCTGCTCTCTAGGTTCTCTGGCCTAGAGTGCTCTTAAAAACATAAAACTGTTTTCCAGATATATTTAACATGTGCTGTAGGGGCAGCTGTGTCCCTGTGTGCCAGAACAAGGAGAGAAACCTTTAGCCCCGATTCCCCAGCACAGAGCCCAAACCTAAAAGGGTCTTAAGGAAACAGCCGCTCAGTGGCAGAGAGAAAAAGGCTGAATCTCAACCAGGGGAATCTGGGTTGTGATTTGGGGTTGAAGGATTAACCTAACCAAGCAGAAAGAATAAAACTACGAAGACATTCCTCCCTTGTACCCATATAAAAACCAAGTTAAGATTTGATACTGGTATTTCTACTGCGTCGGGCTCCAGAAGTTTCATAAGGGAAACCCAATTATACATGCCTGTCACGTCCTAGCTTAATTCAGAGACTGGTTCCCCCAAGACCTTGCTCCTCTCACATCAGATTCATTCTAGTAACCAGTTATTACCTTACAAACATGAGAACTTCCTTAGGGCCAGGGTGAGAGGCCCTGGTCCTGCTGACAGCAACAAGTCCGCTCTGCTCAGCATTTACTGAGCACAGGGCCAGGCCCGGAACATGGGCAGAGAACACACAGATGACATCATAAGCGAACTTCTAGAGATCCACGTTCTTCCCGATAGGGAGGGTGTGTATGTTTATTAAAATTATGCCAGACCTCTGCCTCCTGTTTACATCTGTCTCCTTCAACTAAGACATATGGTGTCACAGGAAATTCAATGGCAGTGGCCAAACCCTGAACTCAGTATTATCTAGTCCAACTAGATATTAGCATAGTTTCTCCACTCTCATGTTTCCTCCTAAAGAGGAGGGTCACTGGCTTAACCTCCCACTAAAAGCAGGTCAACAAGTTAACACTGGGGAATTCCAAGCACAGGAAAGGAAGATATGCTGCCTGACAGGCTTCTGCCCCTGCTAAGCTGGTACAAGTGAAAAGGTGGTGGCCCAGATACTTTGAACTCAGGGCTGTGCATGTTCACAGTCAATAGGAAACAAACTCCATTTTCAAATTTCCTTTTTTTATTCTAAATAAAAACCACACTTTGTGCTGAACAATGGAATATAAAAGAATCAGATGTACGATTTTGGACATCTACTATTTGGGGGGAAAAGTTTACAAAATATACAAAACTTTACAGCAATAGATAGTAAACACTTAAATATTAGGAGGTCAGTACTTATTAATTTAATGGAAGTTCTTAGAAGTCAACAACTCTCCTCGGTTTCATAATAGACTTTAGCTAGTAGAGGTGGGCTAGGAGGATGAGGGGTGTTAAATAAACTCGGAGAAGACTTCATGAGTCGTCATTCTGAACAGGATGCTGTGTGCCCTGCTTTAGGACTCCTTCAGGGCAGACTGAGGAGACTACTGGATGAGCACAGACCTCCACACAGTCAATTCCTAGGCAAAAAAAAAAAAAGCAGTGTCCACCTACAAACGATTTTAAATTCACTTCCAAAAGTGGAGTGAGCTGGGGATCAGAGCATAAAAATCAAGAGAGAGAAGGGGAAAAAAAAGCCATCAGTAGCAAAAACCTGACTGGAGCACAGGTGTTCAGCCCAAATGCTCCAAGGGACAAATGGGCTCTAATAGATCAAAAGTCAAAAAGAATTTTTCCCCCATATCCTACTTTTTCGGGGTCACCTGGGCTGGACTCTTACTCCCACCTCCTTCCTTTACAACTAGCAGTGAACTCCACGGAGTCCTAAAACTTGAAACCAAATACCATGGTAGAGCAGAGCTTCCCAGGGTGCTGTTGCCTCAGTGATCCAGGAGCACCCGGCCAAACTGGGTTCAAGATGTCCAAGACAATGATCCCCTCCTCTGGTCACATGGTCTGCTGTTTGTCTGTACCATGAAAGTATTACCTTTTTCCCTTAATAAACAGGCTGGGAATTACCTCATGCTTGGTGTAATGCTCTACAGGTGTCATCTTGAAATTCTTACCAATTCTTAAGGGGGCTCTATAAGTTATGTAGCCAGTCCTGAGTACAAAAGAGGGGCGAGGGGGAGGGAGGGAACTGAAAAATGAGACATTCAAGGATGAAAGGGAACCTCAAAACAGCCCAGTAAGAGATCGTTCTAAACCAGACTCCAGGGCATAGAAGACAACAAAATCAAATGAACAGAGATTGAAAAAAAATTAAACTTCGTATCAGACAATACCGTCAGGGACTTTAGAGCACACTCAGCCACAACATAACTTCAATGTGTTTCAAGTAAAGCAACTGAGGAAAAAAGCTGGAGGCAGAGGCAAAGAACAAATCGAGGGCTCGGGTGTGAATATGGGGAGCAGAGGAACAGGGTTTGGACAATGAGCCTCTTGAGCTACTGACCCTGCTACATATCTGTGACCTACTGGGCCTCCTGATCAACCACTAGACCTCAGGGAGAGATCAGGGGGTGCAGTTATGTATTTAGTGTTAAAGGGCAAAGTTTCAAGGATTGCTTTTTGGTTTACTGGCAAAAAAGGGAAAATTTCACAGTTTCAAGTTAAGTATACATATTACCCAGCGTCATGAAGCCATCTACATAGGAAAAAGGTCTCTCTAGCTTATTGAGTCAGTCTCAACTACCTGGCCAGCTGCAAGTTTCACCATTCCCGAAGGCATTCAAAAATCAGTCCTCACCAACGCTGGGAAGATCACTCAGTCTTGCAAAGCTTAGTACATAAATTAATATCTTTTACACATTTTAACTCTTAAATTTCTAATGGTCAATGTCAGAAATGGAGAAGCCAATCATGGATGAGAAGTCTCAGCACTGCTTTGTTGACAAGAAAATCCCAAAGAAATATTTATTTAACAAGCTGGGTGTTTTGGTTTGGCTACTGGGCCATAGTTTGAGGTGCTTAGGGTTTACTCCAGGCTGTGTTCAGGAATCACTCCTGGTGAGGGTCAGAGGACATTTGCAGTGCCAAGGAGCTAAACAGGGTCAGTGGCATGCAAGGCAAGGCAAATGCCCTACCTACTATACCATCTCTGGCCCCCAAAAGTTGGATTTTAATGATCAAACCATCTGGGGCCACTCACACAAGTTTTCAGGTAACCGTCACCCCAACAAAGCCATGTACCTCAAGTGGAGAGCTAGGGAAAGGGGCAGCAGGTCCAACAAAGACGAAGTTTTACTTTGCCTGGATGTCTGCATTCAGCTTTCCAAGATTAGGAAGAATGAGAACTTGTGCAAAGATGTCTTTTGTGTGATCTGACCCCCCTCAACTACCCAGTCCCCAACCTACTCCATCACAGATGGAACAGGGATGAAAGGCTTAGGAATCTAACAAGGAACTTAATAAGCTCAAAGCTTAAATTTTTAGAGCTTAAATCCATTTGCTTCAAGAATTCCTTGGGTTTGTTCTGCAAGAGACTCTGAAAAAAAGAATTTGATTTTAAAGCTTGGCACATTCTCCCCTCATTCAACTCTGCTTCCCAAATTTCTGGCCAGGATTGTCCCCTGGAATATGGCTACTCACTAGGGAGAAAAACTCATTTTCCTGAAATCTCTTATCCAAGAGATGCTGGGCAGTATGTATACAAAAACAAAAATAAATAAATATTAACATCCAGAAAGGCTTTGTGGGTTAATTAAAACCACCTGCTTGTGAACCAGCCCGGGTGCTGCTGAGTCCAGTCCCACCAGATAGTTCAGGGCCAAGACCAGGAACTCCCAGAGCTCACTTGAGCAAAATGAGGTAGTAAGAGGTCCTGAGGTGCCACCGTGTGAGTATGCAAAATCTGAGGGCCCTCTCCCTCAAGCCTTCTTTGGGCAAGGCCCCCCTCAAAAGCCAACCAAGAGCCAACCATTCACCTGGTTTGAGTCAAGTTCCCTACTCACCTAGTGAGGGCCCAAAACAGCTGCTGTGTAAGAGTGCCCCCTGGTGGAGATGCCATGATTAAATTAATTCCAGCAGGTCAATAGAGAGCTAAAAAAGCCCAGTTAGAATAAACAGATTACTGCACAGGGACAAACAAAATGCAACCTGCTGTACACCAGTTACTCGGGTGCTTTAAATCCTGAAAGGATCACAGTCCACCATTCCACCACCTCATGGAATCTTCCCATCTACATGAGGGGTCAAACACATGTGTAAGTGCGATGGGATCTGAATTAAGGCAAGGCTGTTATCAGACATCCCCACCTCCCCATCTGAAAACTCAAGGGCAACAGAGATGGCCAGAATGACAAATGACTCTATCAAAGTGGTTCCCTGTCCTCTCTGCCTCACAAAGATGACCTCACGTCCTGGGCATCATCTTATAAAAGTTTTTCTTTGGAACTGAGGAGAAAAGAGAAAGCTCCCTTCCAGTCCATTCAGGCTACCACTTCTGGTAGCGCTGCAGGACACCTCTTCTGGCTGGTAAGGATTCATGCCCAAAGCTTTGTGACCCAAACAGAAAGCTTTGTCCTCAGTTGGGATGTAGCTGTCAAAATATTCTTTCCATCAGCAGGTTAAAACTGTGGAACAGGCAGACTCCTCCAACCCTCATGCCTTTTCTGTGGTAAGGACTAGGACTACTGGACCTGAGGTGAGCTGCCCTGTTGATCTGTCTCTAAATGACCATATTCCCAACATATTCCCAAGAACTGGCTGTCCCAGTTGAAGTCTGGCAGAAATACCCACAGAGAAAACCTCTCTCCACCTCCTCTATTCAGTGAGGCTGTTGGTTGGCATCTTAGCAGCATAAAACCTATCAGTAAACTAAAAGTCAAGAGGCTGGGAAAGGGGATCTAGTTGACACCAAATGCCTAACGAGACCCCAATATTTGCCTCAAAAGAAAAAAAAAGCCCTTATGGGCAAGAATAAGGAGGTAAACATGATAGGTCCATTGCTTCTCAAAAACAGTGACAGCTTCTGTGCTCTTTCTTCTTTAAACACAAGACAGACCCAAATTCCTAGCAAGGCAAAACTGTAACCGACTGGAGAGGGACCAACAGCCGTTCGAAAACCAATGTCCTGGCTCCCTCCTGGGAGTTCCCCGATCTCTGCTGGGACCCAGTCAGCTCTCCGGGTTTTTTTCTGCCTCTTTGGAATGGATAATGTACATGAAGGTCTGCTCAATGGTGAAGTCAGGTGGGAGGCTGCCTTTGTGCACACCAACATGTTTGCTCATGAGGTTAAGGGTGGAGCTGTAGTGGCCACAGACTGTGCAGCGGTACATGAGGGCCCCTGAGTGTGTCTTCAGGTGGCACTTGATGGTTGAGCGGCCTCGAAAGAACTTGTGGCACACCTTACACTGATACGGTTTCTCACCCGTGTGGATCCGCCGGTGGTAGTTAAATTCACTTGTGTGGGCAAACCTTTTCCCACAGACCTTGCAGCTATACTTGCTGTTCCCAGGTTGGCCCTGCAGAGCCAGCTCCTCACTCAGGAACTCCTCAGCGGGCAGCTTCCGCTTCTGAAGAGCTGGATGCTGTAGCCCCAAACCAGGCCGCACATCAAGGCCACTATTGCATTTGTGCTGGCTGACGTGGTAGCGATAGGCAGCTTCCGACTTATAGCTCTGGCCACACAAGTGGCAGCGGAACAGGGCATCTTCCAGGCTTTGGTGCACAGCCATGTGCTTCTCAAGGAGATGCCAATCCACGAAGCTGTTTGCACAGACAGAGCAGGAGAAGACCGAAATGCCAAGATGTGAGAGCGTGTGCCACATGAGGCTACAAAGGTTGAGGTGGCGCTGGTCACAGACACTGCAGGCCTGGCCCTTCAAGTTCAGATGATCAAGGATGTGGCCCCGGACCACATGGAAATCTTTGGCCAATGCCTTTCCACAGGCAGCACATTTCAACTCTGGGGAGGACGCCCCAGAAAACAAACTAAGCTTCCCAGGCAGGGGATCATTGGGGTGGACAATGATATTGTTCTCAAATATTCCATCCCGGCGGTGGAGGGTGAGCTGCCACTGGGTAAAGAACTTTGTTTCACACATGTCGCAGGAGAAAAGGAAAATACCAATGTGGGATAGAACATGGGTCACCCGCGAGTTGCGGTCCTGGAAGTGGGTCTCACAGACCTTACAGTTGCCTGTCAGCAAGTCCACATGGTCCCGTGCATGCTGCCGGATCAGCTGAATGTTGGGCTCCAGAACTTTCTTGCATACCTGGCAGGGCATGGCCTTGTTCTCTCGGTTGTCATTTTCTCCAAAAGTCAGCTCATCCTCACTGTCATCACTCAACTCAATCACCTCCTCAGCTGCACCAATTTCCTCAGTGGGGTCTTCAAACTGCAAGTCATCATCCCCCAGATCCTCCAGCTGGAGCTCATCCATCTGGCCAAACCCTGGATCTTTAGAGTGGTCACTATTGCTCAGACAGGAGTTGGTCCCAGTGGTAATGTCTATTGCATTGTCAGAAATGAAGCAGCTGTTTTTACTGAAGTCACCATTGCTCTGAACTTTGAATGGCAGGCAGGAACTTGTGCTGGTTTGGATGCCCATACTGACAGTGCTGAGGATTGGTTGGGTCCCCACACCAGGAAGGGAAGTGAAAGAAGCAGGTGTATCATGATCCTCTGTCTTTGGTGGCAGTGACTGCTGTGGCAGAGACAAGCTATGGTTAGTGTCACTGGTAACATTTCTCTCTTCCTCTTTATAGCTTCCTCCAGTATCACTAGACAATACATAGCTTCTATCAGGGGCAAAGTGCTCCCCACTGCCACGAAGTTCTCCAAGGGTATGAGTAGGTTCTACTGAGCCACAATTCAGAGTACTGGCGTGGCTCTCACTGGTGCTGGTCAGGGGTTTGGCAACAGCAGTATTCTCCAGGTCAGGAAAGGTGGCGTGACAGGCCTGCAGGAGGTCCTCCATACCCAGGCGCTCAGCCACCTCATAAATGACCCCAACATTGATCAGGTCTGTGAAGAGCTCCGATGTGTATACAAAGCTTAGAATCTTCTCAAAGTTAGCAGGGGTGATGAAGTCCACCACATAGGTCCTGGCAGCATCAAGCCCCGTATTCAGAAAGAGGTTCTGGAAGTAGCCAGCTGCACATGCCAGGACGGCTTTGTGGGCTGGGAAGGATCGGCTCCCCACCACAATGGTGACATCGCACATGGTCTCCGAGAGCCGGCACTTGTTGAGTTCTTTCAGCAGGTTGTTAGGGTGGTTGGTGCTTTGCAGCTTGATCCTCATGCCCATTTTAGCAGCTTCTATGAAGTTGCCTCCTAATCAGCACAGTTAATCTGTGGACAGCAAAAGAAAAAATTAGATGGCCAAACACATCCCTGTGAGGGAGGAGCTCTACAAGAGAAAATACCATCAGACTCAGTTTCCAAACCCAGGTGGAGAGCAGGATTGAATAAACAGGAAAAGCAGTTCCATTTGGCTGGGGGTAAGGATTGCCAGAAGGCCTCTTGGTCATAAACTCATAAACATGTGTACATAAACATATCCAAATAGTCAAAAAGACAAAATCCTAAAGTATCAAAAGAAATGTATACCTGAGTGCTTAAGAGTCAGTGAAAGTTTCCAAAAGAACATAATACAGCTTCCCAAGTAGACTCGTGGTCTATCTTCCCAGGTAGACTGGTCCAGGCTGAGTACTCTGGGGCCTTCTCAGAATGGAGGCAGGCAGATTCCCCCTTCTACCTGAAGGCCCAGCAGCCTAAAGCCAGACCCAACACCCTCCTACATAGAAACAGCCCAGCATCAAGTCTAATTTCAAAAAGAGTGATATACAGTTAAATTTTTCTAAGTGAGACCAGTCTACAGGCTGAGAATACTCTAAGGTATTATCAGATTGGGAGGTGGCAAAATCCCCCCCACACCAGAAAACCCAATACCCACCATCTTGTGGGCAGAAAAGTGAGCAGAGAAACAGTCCAGTATCACATATCCAAAAGAATATGATACTGCAGAATCTTCCCAGGTAGACTGGTCCAAGATGGTCTAGGACCATCTCAGAATGGGGAGGGCCAGAGTCCCATTTCTGCCTGAAGGCGCAGCAGCCCAAAGTAATACCTTGACACCCTCCAACACAGAAATGACCCAGCTTCACAATGAACCTCATCAAACTGCCAAGCTACCAAATAGTTCCAGATCTATAGCTCCTGGAATGCAGTCAGGCACCTCAAATTTTCAGAATATTGACAGCCCAGTAGAATCACAGCAAATCTGATTAGAAACTTGCTTAGACAACCATCACCAAGCCCAATGAACCAAACAACACAGAAGACTCAGTTAGCACTAATCAGCACAGCAGATCCTCAGACAATGGCTTTAGTAACATCATTTTAAGATATAACAATCATCACAAATTAACTCATACTGATCTGAGTTTTGATAATTCCATCTGCCTTTGTGTTGTAACAATATGAAGTAAATGTATTCATGCCTGCAAGGGGTCAGGCTGGAGTGGTGGGTGGGAAACTGGGGGCACTGGTGGATGGTAGGACATACCTGTAGTAGCACTGGTGGTGGGATTGGTATTGGAACATTTATTTAATACCTGAAACAACTCTATTATGAACAACTTGGTAAGTCACGGTTTAAAATTGAGGACCAGGGAGACTGGACAGGGGTTAAAGCACTTTGCCCTGCATGCAGACAACCCCAGTTCAATCTCCAGTTCTATATACGGTCATCTGCGTACAGAGCCATGGTGTGAGATGTGACCCTCCCCCAAAAAAAAATAAAGTGGCAGAGAGAGTCGCTAAGGGCCCCGACTGGACAGAGGCTGCTACCACAGCCTTCTCTCATACACAATCTTAAATTTCATTAGCAGAGTGGCTCCAATTCTATCAACTTCCTAATTACAGGGTGTAGCCATAGTACAAGTGGGTCAGGCCTTTGCTTTGCACAAGACGACTAGGGTTCTATTCCCCTGCACCACAGATGGACCCCCAGATAAAGCAGAGCATAAAGCCAGGAATAAGCCCTGAGCACCGCTGGGTGTGGTGCAACCATCAACACCCTCAAAAATAAAAAACGGTCCTAATTACCTCCTGAACACAAAGGGTCCATCTCTAAGAATAGTCTCTTCCTTTATAATGCTAAATATCACACTCTTACTTGAACATAACTGAACCTCCATCAATTGCTGAGGAAGAGGTAAGTAGCTCCCTGTCATCCCTGTGCCCTTTGAGTCCCTAAATAAATCACTTGCTCATTCTGAGTTCTCAAGCGCTGCTCTAGTACATTCTCTGAGAGCCCTGGGAGACACTGAGACATTCAGAACCTAAAGGAAAGGCACCGAGGGCCCCAACTTCGGCATTTAACATCACTCGGACAAGCTTCCTGTCCTTTTAAGCCCCTTGGACCTGACGCTCACGCTGACCAGCAGGAACACTGGCTGGCGAACAGGGCGTCTAATTACACAGGGATTATCACGCAAAATTGCTCGCCGTCACTTTTCCCGCTCCTGCAGTCCTGCGAGCTCCGAAGACCCACCAAGGATCGTCTCGCCACTCGCCCTGCCAGCCCTTTCTCCGCCTCACCACACTCCACTAACTCCCAACTTTTTCTGGGGCTCTGGAAGCTTCTGCGCAATTTTGGGCACCAGCCAAGCCGCAACACCCCTCCCCCCGCTCCCGCCTCCGGGCCCAGATGGTCATACATGCCCCCCCCCCCCGCCCACTGGCTGGAGGGGGCCCGGGGGCCCGGGAAGGGATCGCGGGGGGGCGGGGGGGCGATTCGCAACTTCCTTCCAAGAAGGCGCCTCGGCGAAGCCCGGCTCCCCTCCCGTCTCGCAGGGGGGTGGAATGCGGAAAAGGGGGCGCAGATCGCGCTCCGTACTTCATCGGGGGAGGCACCGCGCACTCCGGACCCTCCCCCGCACGGGGGGGCGATTCCCCGGGGCCGCTCGGCGGGGAGGGGGCCGGGAACCGGGGCGCGGCGGGGCGCGGGGCCGCGCGGGCGGCGAAGGGAAGGGCGGCGGGGCCGGCGGGTCGGGCCGAGAGGTTCGGGCAGGAGAGAGTGAGAGAAAGGCCGGGGCGGGGGGTCGGGCCTCGGCCGGGGGCAGCCCTCGGCCCGGCCGCGCTTACCCGGCTCCGCGGGGCCCGAGCACCATCGCCGACGCCGCCTCACACAAAGGCCCCGGCCCGCCGTGCCCGGCGCGACGAGGAGGCGGCGCCGCTGGCCGCGGCCAGACTCTCCATCCGCCGCGCCGCTCACCGCGCCGGCCCGGGCCGCCCCCGCCGCCCGGCCCGCAGCGCCCCCCGCCGTCCCGGAGGAGGCAGCGCCCCCCGCCGCTCGCTCGCAGCGCCCCCAGCCGCCTAGGAGGAGGCAGCGCCCCCCCACGGCGGGCCCGGCGCCAGGGCCGGGGAGCGCGACCCCCACCCCCACCGCAGCGCCGCGAGCCTCCGGACCCCCGGGGCCTGCTTGCCCCGCACCGAGCCCCGAAACTCCTGGGCCGGCCCCGGCGGGGCTCCGAGACCCCCGAGCGACCCGCTTCCGGCCCCGCGCTGCCCGGAGGAGACCGGCCGCCCCAGGCTCGCTGCTGGCGTTTGCGGCGCCGCTTCCTACGCCCTGGCCTGGCTCTGCGGAAGCCGGATCCCCAGATGGAGGGGATTCTCCGCCGGCTGCGTGGAGAAGTGAAAAACCTTGCTCAGCTCCCAGGCCGCCTGGTTTCTGGTCTGGGTCTCTTACTTCCAGAAGTTTCTTCTCCAAAGGGCCGCGGTTGATTATTTGATGGGGAGGGGGAGGCACGCCCCCGTGTTGCTGGGGAAAAGGGTTGGCGGTCCAGTCTCCTAAGCCGGAACCTGCCTCCAGAGCTTGAGCTCAGACCCTTTGAGCTGCATCCCCTGTTCACGACAGTGAGCATGCTGAAGGCAGGAAACCCGTCGTTCTGCCTCCAGAACAGCTCTTGAGCACATTTCCCGATCCAGATGATAGGGATTTAATAAAAGCAGCTTGAACGAAGGAATTAATAGTAGGGGAGGCAAAATTTTCCATTTACCCTTCTGACCAATGACCAATGTAAATGTGGCATACAACTGACCTAAGTGGGGAAGGAATCAGAAAACTTAGCCTTTGGGGGGTGGGAGGGATACTGGGATCAGTGGTGGTGGAGAATGGGCACTGGTGGAGGGATGGGTATTCGATCATTGTGTAACTGAAACCCAAGCACAAAAATTTCTAAGTCTACAACTGTACCTCATGGTGTTTCACTAATAAAAATTAAAAAATAAAAAGAAAAGAAAACTTAACCTCTCACGGAAAAAAAACTGCGTGCAGACATTTCAAAGCTTAACAACCACAACATTCTGTTATCCGCTTAAACAAACATTTATGTGTTTGTACAAGGACTAGTAACTATTGCACCTTGTCCTGTAATGTCATCATTGATCACCTCCCCTTTCTGTCGTTGGTCAGGTTTTTCTTGCAATCCTCCTACAATGTCTGGAAGCGTAATATGTTTTACCAAATGGGTTAATGTCTCATAAATGCTGGAGACTGGAGAACGATAAAGCCAGAGACCAGTTGGAACCAAATGAATTTAAGATGGAGGACTACACAGAGAGCCACCCGCTTGGAGCAGAAAAGCAAATGGACTATGTGTTAAACCGCGCCAGCATGCCTGCCCAGAGGGGAAAGGGTGTTGACCCACCCGCCCGCTCCTCTCTGGAAAGAAAGATGGCGGCCACATGGGAGCCTTGTGGACAGCAGGTTTGAGCCGGGCTCGGCGGGAGCGGCAGGGACCTCATGGGAAGGGGGGCTTTGTGGGCCGTCCCCCACGCCCCACCGAGGTCGCCAGCTGCCCCCCACGAGCGGCTCTCCGGCACGGCCACGACTCCAGAGCACAGAAACCAATCTCTTAACTATCTAACTTTTAATAGAAATTCTTCCAGGGTTAATAAGTAAAATAGTAGAAATCCAAAACCGCGCGGCCGCTATTGCGGCATCATCATTTTATTCTTAAACCAAGTTGTAGAAAGCAAATCATTTCACAACGCTGTTTCAGCATGTCTGATTGGGGGGGGGGTCGTAAACTCTAAACAATAATTGTGCATCTTCTATCGAAACAATGTATCTAGTCAAAGTAGATAGAGTATTAACTAGAACTCATCTGCCTCACAGGAATTGGGAGGGGTGGGAGGTGGGGTTCTATTGGGGTTTGCGGTTAAAAATAAGTATTGGTAAAGGGAAATGTGTTTGATATTTACATGACTGAGACCTAAACCCGAAAGCTCTGTAACTTTTCCCACAGTGATTCAATAAAGAAATAAATTATAATAAAAAAAAAAGGATGGAGGACTAATTGACCAATGGATGACACTGAGTTTTATTATGTTTCATTCTGACACATTTACACAATAAAATCACTCCTACTCATGACATGAGTTTACAATTGTCATGGCAACCCCAAGAAAAGTTAGAATCATATAGAGTTAAAATATGAGTGATGCTTCCTTTGACTCTAGGAAATCACTTCTAAGACCCTCTTCTCTAAAATCTCATGCATATTCTACCATTATTAATTTAGCCCAAGTCTACACTTAGAAATTTGTACAGAGCTGGCACTATTTCTCTCCAGTGTGTACTCTTAGTAAGTTGCTGTCTTTCCCAGAAACTGTGAGTGCTGCTAACATGCCTACACACTGTCTCAGAGCACAAATACTTGCATACTTGCTTTTAGAACCAGTTTTTCTTCCCTATAAACAACACTGCTCTCCATAGATTATACCTGTACTCTGGTTAATCGTGTGTGTGTGTGTGTGCGTGTGTGTGTGTGTGTGTGTGTGTTCTTGTTTTGGGAGCACATCCAGTGGTTCTTGAAGCCTACTCCTGGTCCTGTGCTCCAGGGTCACTCCCAGTGGAACACAGGGAATCGTGTGGTGCCAGAGATCTTACCTGGGTCTACCACACTTAAAGTATGAATTTGGCCCTTTGTGCTATGGCTCCATCCAATGCTCTGTTTCTTTTTTATTTTTAACACATCTTTATTGAGGTACCATAATTTACAATATTGTCAATGATAGTTTTATGCATGCATTGTTGCAACACCACACCCACCACCAGAGTGCGCACTATTCTTGTGTACATAGGCTAGAGTGATACCACAGAGTGTAGGGCGTTCACCTTGCACTGGCCAACCCGGGTTCAATTCCTTCGTTCCTCTCGGAGAGCCCGGCAAGCTACCAAGAGTATCCCGCCTGCACAGCAGAGCCTGGCAAGCACCCCGTGGCGTATTCAATATGCCAAAAACAGTAACAAGTCTCACGATGGAGACGTTACTGGTGCCCACTCGAGCAAACTGATAAACAACGGCAGGACAGTGCTACAGTGCAGTAAAAGGTAAAGGTAAAGGCCCTCCCGTTGATCATCGATTTGCTCGAGCGGGCCCAGTAACGTCTCCATTGGAGACTTTGTTGTTACTGTATTTGGCATATCGAATACTCTCGGTAGCTTGCCAGGCTCTCCGAGAGGGGCGGAGGAATCGAACTCGGGTCGGCCATGTTGGCCGCTTGTAAGGCGAACACCCTACCGCTGTGCTATCGCTCCAGCTACAGTGCAGTGCGACTTATATACATATATACATACATATATATACATTATATATCTGTAAAACTATATTTCTCTCTAAGATTCGTTGTCTTCTACCTTATGCTTGCTGTTGCGCTACTCTAGGAGTATGAGTGGTGTGAAGTATGAGATGTTGCCCGGCTGCGTGGTCCAGGGATAGGTTTACTTATGGGTGAGGCTCATCCCGGGCATGTGGAGAGCGGCCATGAGTGTGGCAGAGGTTGAGTTCTGGAGGTTTTTGGCTATTGGGGTTAGATTCCTTGGGGTGGGGAGGGGACTCACCTGCCCCACTCCAGGGCACCCTGAATGGAACAGCCTGGCGCAGGGTCTGGCAGCATGGCTATGGCAGTGTCGTTTTATGCTGTCTTCTGAGAAAGAAGGACAATCAGTCTCTGAATCATGGCCGTTGATGAGATTATCTGGTGCCAGTCAGAGGTGACTTGTGGGTGTGACTGCCAAGTTGCCAAAAATGTAGGGGGAAATGGGCGAAGGTTCCCCATTCCTGGTTCCATTGAACCTGGAGTTTTCAGTCGCAAGTTCCACATACCTGGGTTTGGCACTATGATTCTTTAAACCACACATATGAGAGAGATAATTCTGCATGTCTTTTTCCTTCTGCCTAATTTCACTCAGCATGATATCCTTCACGTGTGGGTATAGTACATTCACGTGTGGCAAATTACATGATTTTTATCTTTTCTTATAGATGAGTAATATACCACAATTTCTTTATCCAGTCATCTGTTCATGGACACTTGGGTTGTTTCCAAATCTAGACTATTGTGAATAGTCCTGCTGTGAACATATCTTTTTTAAGAGAAAGGTTTTGGGCCCTTGGGATAGATACCTAGAAGTAGGATTGCAGGGTTTTATGGAAACTCAGTATTCAGCTATTTTAGAAGTGTTTGTGTTTTCTGAAGAAGTTGAACCAATTGACATTTCCACCAACAATGGATGTAGGTTCCTTTTTCCCCCCACACACCACCATTGATTTTTTTTTCTTTTATGTATTCCAGTTACTGGTTTGAGATAATAACTATTTTATTAATGAAGAAGATTTGCATTTCTCTGATGATAAATGATGCAGGTATTTGTGGGGGGTGTTCTTTTATTCTAGTTGTCCTTTCTTTTGCAGCGTGTAAGCTTTTTAGTTTGATCTGGTCCCCTTTGCTTAATTTTGCTTCTGTTTTGCTTGGTCAGTAGCACTGGGTCATTGAAGATGCCTCTAGATTCATCATCAATAAGGGTTCTGCCTATATTTTCCTCAGTATAACTTATGTCTTCACCTGATATTGAGGTCTTTAACCCATTTCTAATTGAGTAGTAACGTGTGAGATGGGGTCTAAGTTCATTTTTATACAGGTGGCTCACCAGTACACTCTGTTTCTTAAGTGTATACTTTTCTTGAATACACTGATCTCTGTACGTTACTTCTCTAACTTATTCTCAAGTTCTTTCCTGTGATAAAATTAGTAGGCTGGACTCCCAGAGCTAACTGCTTTAGCCCTGAGCAAGTTTTTCTTTCAATACATCCAAGTGATTGGTTGAGACCTCTCCTCCCTCTAATAATAAGCTGGAGAAAATGAATAGAGTTTTGACAATGCGTATCTTCCTAAGAAAGCAAATTCCTCTAAATGGCCCATATGACAACCTTGAA